GTGTGGTGTGTGGGGTGTGGGGTGTGGGGTGTGGGGTGTGGGGTGTGGGGTGTGGGGTGTGGGGTGTGGGGTGTGGGGTGTGGGGTGTGGGGTGTGGGGTGTGGGATGTGGGGTGTGGGGTGTGGGGTGTGGGGTGTGGGGTGTACTAGCGGTTCAGGAGTTGATCTACACTCTAAACCCTAAACGGCGGGTGTGGGGAATGTCGGCTGCACTTGGAGAGGTGGAGAAAGCTTGGCAAGTGAGCAGCAGGTGAACAGATGTTCCCAGAAAAGCGGTTCCAGCGATTTTTTTTGCTTCATGGGTTTTAGGGTGGAAGGCTGTTCACAGGATAGCGGCGCAACAGCCCTCATGGGTTCCCCTACTACCCCCCTCCATACTACCCCCCCAAGCTTCCCCCCATAATGAAAGCGATTTCGAGAGAAGCCTAACTAAGGCTATTTAACGGGGGAGCCCGGGGGGGGGGTGGTAGTAGGGAAACCCATGCACCCCCGACTCGAAATCCCTCAACCCCAAAACCCTCAACCCCCACAGCCTGAACTCCAAAGCCTCAACCCAAACATCCCAAGCCCCAGAACCAGAAGAACTGAACCCCCAAACCCGAAGATAGGTCTAAAAAGTAGCCCCCTATCATAGACGTCGATAGACCCTATAGAGACCCCTATGGTTTTGGGATAGGGTCCTATTCCCTGAGCCTTCCCCGTCCGTGGTGGGACCCTATACATAGGACCTGTCCGTTTATGCATAGACACCTATGCATAGGCCCTATGCCTTTTCCAATAGACCCCTATGCATAGACCCTATCCCTACCTATACCACCCCCCTATGCGGCATAGACCCCTGTCCATTTTTGATAGGCCCCTACCCCCCTCCGGATAGACCCTATCCACAAACCCATAGACCCCTATGGTAACAAATGTATCACTTGTGCTCGAGCGAGAGTTTAGTGTGTAGGGTTTTTGTAGGGTTTTGGGGGGGTTCAGAGTTTAGGGGTTTTTAGGGTTTAGGA